AAACTCAAACACAAAGCAAATAATCACGGAGTTCGGTCTACTCACGACCTACGTCTCCGCTCCTCACCCTCGAGGAGAGTCTCCACTATCAACACAAAAAGCTACACAATCAGTTTTCAACGCTCACCGATAAACATTTACAACTCACACGATTGCAATTACACAATACACCCTCTAAGTGTTGGCCTAGCCCGTGTCAACTTCTTCAAGTGCTCGGAATTACGAACTCTCCCTAAGATTTACTATCGACGCCACTCCTCTTGGAATTAACCCCGTCTCTCACCAACCACTTCTCTCGGTGTCCTTGTGTATTACAATGTGTTCTCAACAATTAGGCACAAGTACAAAGTGTTTTGTTCTCTAATAAGATGAGAACTAAGTTAAGCTCACTCAATCACACTCATAACCCAAATTACACAATGTGTGAAAATACTCAAGCTCAAAGGTTGTGTGTGAAATAATAATTAAAATGAAAATAAACTTAAATAAACTTAAACTCAATCTAAGTCAAATATATATTATATATATAATATATATATATATAGTATATATATATATATAAATATATTACATCATATTATATATATATGAGAAATATGGGGTATGCTTGTCGCAGCGCGTACCAAGCTACAAAAAAGTTTGTGTCGTTAGTAGGAGCGTGTCAAATCCCACCTACCACTCATTCAATGATGTGGGAACAAATTCACATGGGCGTAGTAAGTGGATAGGGATGTGACATATTACTACCAAGCATAAATGTGCTTGTGCTCACCAAGCCCATATCCCATTATTTCTCTCTCTCCCTCCTCTCTCTCTCATATATATATATATATATATATGAATCAAAAATATGAATATGCTAGAAGATAAGTTTAGAAAAACTTTTCCAAGAATCAAGAGTGAGAGAGATGTAGATTGAAGCCCAAACACGTAAAGAATAATCTCATCCTCTTGTGAAAACTACTTCACATAATCAAACTTGAAAACACTTGTAATCCCTTTAACAAACTTGCCCAAAACTCAATTTTTGTTTTTCTTAGAGATGGTTCAGAAGTTTGAAGGCAAGGGGTATATATAGGATCACAAAATAAAGCCCAAAAACTAAGAAAATCCAAGCAAAAAGATTAAAAAAATAAAAAATTAGGAAATTAGAAAACTAGTCGTTACAGTGCCATCAATCGACTGATGAACAGTGTCAGTCGACTGATGAGCTGACCGTTACAGACAGCTCAACCTTCATCGGTCGACTGATGAACTCATCAGTCGACTAATGACCTGCTTCGTAACCATCAGTCGACTAGGCAGAGACTTTTGCTTATTCCAGCCCGTTTCTTCGGTCGACTGATGAGTTTTATCAGTCGACTGATAACGTGCATATGGTCTTTTTAAAATAATAAATTTGAACTTTGAACCCCTTTAAAAAATAGCAAATAAATTATTTAAAATGTAAAATTTGGGAAAATATTTATAAATATAAAAATGAACATGTTATAAAAGAAAATTTTGAAATATCATTTACTGTTTGTGAAAACTCTTCGTTTTGCAAAAACTCACAAATACGTGTTCGTCTAAAACACTTTGTTTTTGACATTTAACTTAAATAAAGTTATGAAGTCTTTTTGAATTGATTTATAGACTTAAAAAAAGATGTATATAAGGATTATTTTGTCCATAAACTAATAACTCAATATTTCCTTAAAAATATTCAAATTGTGATTTTAAAATAATAAATTTGAACTTTGAACCCCTTTAAAAAATAGCAAATAAATTATTTAAAATGTAAAATTTGGGAAAATATTTATAAATATAAAAATGAACATGTTATAAAAGAAAATTTTGAAATATCATTTACTGTTTGTGAAAACTCTTCGTTTTGCAAAAACTCACAAATACGTGTTCGTCTAAAACACTTGGTTTTTGACATTTAACTTAAATAAAGTTATGAAGTCTTTTTGAATTGATTTATAGACTTAAAAAAAGATGTATATAAGGATTATTTTGTCCATAAACTAATAACTCAATATTTCCTTAAAAATATTCAAATTGTGATAAAACCAAAGAATGTGTGTGTGTATAATATTGAGCTTAAAGTATTAGCACACAAAATATAGTTCCTAAACTAATGTACCCAAGTTGTTTGCATATGAAGCTTGTTTTTTACTTGATTTGTATTGACTTCATTTCTGATATGGCTCTTGAAACTTTCAACCTGGATATGTTAAACACAACACAAACACTAGAAAAATACATTGTTATAAATTGTTTGTTAATCTTCAAAACTAGATTAGAGAGTAGGCTCATAAACATGAGTCCTAACAAAATTTATATATGTTAGTGAAAAAATATCAAACAATTACTCTTATCTTTGCCAAGTTTAGCAATTTTAGCCTTTTTGTGATTTTGAACTTTTAAGGATGTGTTTTGCAATTTTAAAACTTTGATAGTATTTTTTAAAAATCATAAAATTTAAATTGGGTGCTTATAATTTTTTTGTTTTATGTGTTGGTGGTAAGTTAGGATATTTATTGTAACTCTAAAATTTTGAGGGTATTTTTTTATAATTATATTGAAACATAGGGTTGGTTTCTGTAAAATTTAAATTTTCAATAGTCTACTGATAATTTTTAGATTTGATGTGTACTGGTTATAAGTTTATAAATTTTAGGGTTTTTTTTGTGATTTTTAACTTTTGAGGGAGTTTTTTAATTTCTACAACCTTGAGGTTATTTTTTGCAAATTTTAAATTTTTAAGTGCTTGATGGTAATCCCTTAAATTCATCTATATTATTTGTAAGTTTTGAAAATTCAAAATTTCATGGTGCTTTTTTATAATTTAAACTTTTGAGGTTATTTTTATAATTTTTTGAAAAATGTTGAAGATGTTAATTGCAAATTTTAAATTCTTCGATGGCTATTGTTAATTTCTAGCTTTCATGTTTGTTCTTTTAAGTTTTGAAAAGCCAGGGCATTTTGTATAATTTTAAACTTTTGAGGATATTTGTGTATTTTTTTAAAAAATTTAGATTTTTTTGTAATACTTCATGTATTATAATATGTTAGCTACGTATGATTTCTTAATCTTATTATTTTAAATTATTGAACTATAGGTAGTTCATGCAGGATTAGTATAGAATATAATTAGAATTAGGATAGATTAAGATTTTAATGAAATATTTAAAGTAGTGTTTTATGTATTTTATTTATCGTATTTTTTTTAAAAATTGTGGAGTTATAGCTAGTTCACATAGGATTAGTAAGATATAATTAGAGATTACGATAAATTAATATTTAAATAAAATATTTAAAATAGTATAGGGTAATTTTGACTATGGAATTTTTTTTCAAAGAGTATGATATATATATATATATATATATATATATAGAGAGAGAGAGAGAGAGATGGAGAGAGATGGAGAACATTGGTACTAAGTTTTTTCATTGAACTTGGTAGTGAGGTGGACAAATCTGGCCCCTACATCACTCCTCGAAAATAGAGCCTCTATTTTGGAGTAAGTGAAAAATGATTGAGACTCTATTTTCGAGGCGTGATGTAGGGGCTAGATCTGTCCATGTCACAATCAAATTCAATGAAGAAACTTGGTACCAAGGTTCTTCATATTTCTCATATATATATATGAAAAATATGATTCTAAGGAGCCACCTTAGATTGAACCTAAGGATGCACCTTGAAAAATTATGTTATATGCGATCACTTTACTTAATCCACTTCACTCATTTTGATCTATAGTTTTTGGATGGTGTATAAACAAAAAACTAGTTATGCTGGATTGTAGTTACTCATGTATCAATGATTATAAAATTAACAGTTTTACGACAATATAACTACAGACAACGAAAAATATGTATTAAAAGTTTAAAACGTCATGATTTTTATCTTATAGTTTTTTTTAATAAATTTAAATCATGATGAATGGAGTTGATCGTCCATTGGAATAGCTCAATCTATGTATCGAGAGGTGCATCCTTAGATATATATATATATATATATGAGATTAATGGGTATCCTTGTCATAGAAGGAGATTTCCTCCTTGACGCCTATATGGCACAATTCCCACCATCCTTATAAAGTAGGAGATAGTGTGTGAGTTGGTGGGGATTTGTATCTACCTTTATGAAGATGGTGGGGATTGTGCCACGTAGATGACAAAAAGAAAAATCCCCTCCTATAACAAGGATACTCATTAATATATATATATATTTGCGCGCGTGTTTTATGCATTATGATTGCATCTATTTGATTTCAAAGGATTCTCAAGAAAAAAAATTTAACGCATTATGAATGCATCTACGTGTTTTCAAAGGATTTTCAAGAAAAAAAATTAATGCACTTTTATAATTGTAGAAGATGGCTCTTATAATTGTATAAGATGGTGCGCGGATCTTATAATTATATAAGATGGCACTTTTATAATTGTATAAGATGGTGCGCGGCGCATATACGTGTTTTCAAAGGATTTTCAGGGAAAAAAATTTTAACGCACTTTTATACTTGTAATAATATAAGATATATAATAGTATAAGATAAAGAGATGCTTTATGACACTATCATTTGTGTTCCTTTTTTCCTTGACGGGAGCCAGAAGAAATTGCATCCGCTAAGCCCGTCTTTTTTAATCTTTTTTTATGCCTTTAACCGCATAAACGTCGGTTCTGATACACATCTCAACAAGCAAGTAAAAGGAAAAAGAGCACTTAAAGGTAATAGCCCAGCCTCACCCTGTAAGAATTTGCATGAACAAGAGAAATATATTTTTTTAATGCTCAGAGATGAAAATATGAGTTTAGGTTATCAACAGAAGTGCAGAAAGAAGACCAAATCCAGAAATCATAAAGAGGTAATTGATCAGGACAGAAAAATGAATTTATCCTCGACAGGGAGAAAGAAAACAGAGAAAAAACAACAGACGAAATTAGACCATATTAAGCCGCTTGGCCTAATGCTCTGTTTGCTTCAATCAGCACACACAAAACCATTATATTCAGCACCTGTCAAAGGCAATTATCTTTCATACTACTATGAATGTAACACCTCAGCCTGCTGCAATGAAAGGCAGGAGAGCTGTAATTGGAAGCATAAGTTGGTTTACTTTGAGGACATTGAGTACCCTAAGCACTACAGCAGAAGTTGATTATATCAAGGACCGAATAATCATACTTTCCAAATAAAGATTTACAGCTTACGCTTACAGGCTAGTTTCTTTAACACATAATTTAAGAGAGCAGCTTCTGTTCAATTGCCCAAAATATACTCGCACCTGCATCCTTTATGGGTGATTAGGAGATAATAAGAAGGGAGTCGAAAGGTTTCCTGCTTCCCCCAATGTCTGCCGAGAGCTCCCCTCAATCCACCAGAAGGTTAGCCATGACAGCTTTTCAACCTTTCCCACCCTGGAAACAAAGAGTGAAAATTGCACTTCCATGTCTAGTAATTACTTTTAAACATCGGCACAATAAACACAAATATTCATTTCCCCATTCAAGCTAGTTTTCAAGTGACAAGCTTTCCAGGAGTTGCTCACAAGCTACAGAAAAATTTCTACTTTGAGGTAAGCATAATTGTCTACTTTAGGACAATCGAATATCTTAAACTATTTTACTAAGCACATCTATAAACTGTTAAACATGTGGGGTGGGTGTCACGCATCCAGTGCTAGAACAACGAGAAATGTGCAAGTAATGAATATCTAAAATGTGCATCAGGTGCGCGCTTTTCTTATGGTACGTTGGGGTGGGGTTGAGTGCATGTGCATTCATCTATCTTCATCTCAAAAGCTCGAAACTTCTTTTCTCATGTAGGGAATATAGTCATATTACCATGCGAGAACAAATTCAATTTCCAAAAGTCATTTACAGAAGCTAATGTGTGACATATATATTTCACTTTGCAGTGGACCCTACATGCAAAGAGTGAAGATTTGCACTTTTAAGGATTTTACACCAAGCAAGGTGAAAAAATAATAATAAATGAGTGGCTATCACCCAGTGGTAGGGTTGACTTAGCCCAAGCAATTGTCCTAACCTGGCAAAACTATCATGCGTTGGTGTGTGTCGTGCATGGTTTATACCAAATGAGTTACCGTTGCAAGATGAAGCATACAAAGCGCAAAGCATGTTGTAAAGCATCTCATAAGAACGTCTTGCATGTTCCACACCAAATTATGAGAACTCTATAAAAGTTTTGCGGGAAGAAGCTATATCTTTCGCTCAAAAGCAATGCAAATCCTGTTATGATTTGGTCTACCCACTGTGCAATTTATATGTGTTGTCACTAACAGCCCTGCAAGCCCACCGTGCAATGTAGGTTGCAAGTTAAACACTTTCCGGTATCAACAAATTTTCTACATTTACCTACATGTTTTACTCAAACATGTTTCAAGTGATAGGTTGACTTCAACAATTCATATTATGCGAAATAAAATTTATAACATGTTTTTAAGACAAAAATAACTAACCTTTCTTGGAGGTGTTCCTGGTTTTGACATGTTCCCAAATCCAAACTTTCCTTTTTTATCAGATGGTTTAAGGATCTGAAAGGAGCATGTCAAGGTATCATCAACGCTCATCATTGCACCAGCATTGTCAAACTCCCCACAGTAGTTAGGGGCAGAAAATATAGTCACAAGTTGGCGCTTTGCAAAAAATTCATAACCATCTTCAACGACCTGGGGAACCTCGTAAAATTAGAGAAAATGAAGAGAACATATACGAGTAGCAGTACCCAATAAAGTAGAAAGAGATGACATATTATTGGAATAATGTTCACCTCCAAGATGAGATATTACTGGAACAGTATAAGTTAGGAAACTCAAACAGCAATACTAGTACCATTACAATGGTGGGAGAACACACCCGATATAAATCAAACACTTAGTTGTATGTCCAATTTGCTTGCCCATCTTAAGTAGAAGTTGAGTAATAGAAGACAAAATGTAATTGTTCCTTAACTTGTTGGAACTATTGTTCATATGTATAAACAAAATGAAAAAAATGGAGAAGTAGACATAGCTTACCTGATGAGCTCGGCAAATGAGATCAATATCATGCTTCTGAAGGAATTCAGCCACCTTATCAGGACCAAAGGTATAGGAGACGCCTCTATCATTTTCGCCCCAACCATCAATATCTTTATCAGGATCAGACCACAGCAAGTCACAAAGAAGGCCTTGATCTGGTACATCAACTGGTCGAGCAATATTCCTTATCTGGTCCAAATTCTTCAGATCAGGAGATAAACCCCCATGCATGCAAAGAATTTTCTCATCGATAAGTGCAGCAACCGGAAGGCAATTAAAACAATCAGTGAAAACTTTCCACAGACGAACATTAAACCTTCTTTTGCATTCATCGTAGAAACCATATATACGATTAATGGAAGCACACTCATGGTTTCCTCTCAAGAGAAAGAAGTTCTCAGGATACTTTATCTTGTATGCAAGAAGAAGGCATATGGTTTCAATGCTTTGCTTGCCACGATCAACATAATCACCTAGGAACAGATAATTTGCTTCCGGAGGCAAGCCACCGTACTCAAATAGACGAAGAAGATCAGAGTACTGACCGTGGATGTCCCCTATCAGGCAAAGTTGAAAGGTTCAGAAAATATATAGGAAACAACGCAGCAACGAACAAAATGAAACTCACATGAAGAACACAATCATAAATGAGTATTCCAATCATACTTTTACATCAATCTTACAGAATAGGAAGGTGTTGGCGAAATTATTCAAAATCTTGATAACTAGTCTTTAGATGCATTTATACATAACTTCAAATGTGAAGTATGATTCACCTATTTTAGGTAATATAATTTTGAATAGTAGATCAATCATTTCCACAATTGTGTTTTTATTGGCATCAACTATAGAAACCTAGAAGATGAATGTGTTTCGACAAGCAAAAAGTTCAGTTAGTGATGGAATTAGCTTTTTAAATTTAAATCATTGAAAGCAAGTAATGAATCTTGATAGTTAGAACAGATGCTCATAAGGAAAATGAGATCTTTGGGATGATAATCTTAGAAACGAGTGGTTGAAACCAGGTACCTCTAGAGTACTAGATATCATAGAGTATCGTCAGTGTGAAAAGAAACTCTGCAAATAAGTCATGCTCCATAATGTTGACAAGTGGAGAAACCATATTCCAAAAATTTCAACAGAAATGAGAATCTAGATAGGTGATAATTGTTTTAGAATTTAGATAGATCTGAAAGTTTAGAACAAACAGGTGAAAAGCATAGGATCACAGATTCACAGTTGAGGTACTACTAGGATAATTGATAGACCAGATAAACCTGTACTATGGCTATACACTGGAACATGACAGCTGTTAATTTAACTACGAAGGTGAGCAGCCAAAAGGCAAGTCTTAATACAGTGAGCATATACCCATGTATGCTCATAGATATGATACACAACGCAGAAGTTTCCTTCTGACATCTAAGAATCTCTTAGTTGCGGAATAGTAGCTAGTGTTGTATAGTATTGTGGGCTAGGTAGGTCTTAACCCTTCTCCATTGTTGTTTTTCTGTCTCAAAACATCTAACCATAGACTAAAGTTTCAAAAAATACCATATCAGAACGACATTTTCTGTAAGGGTAAATTGCGACTGCCTAATTTTGTTACCTAAGATTCTAAATTGACCTAACCAATCAAAAACTAAAGCCATTAACGTAATTTGTTTTAAAATTTCCGAAGTAAATTTTTTTGGATTTTTTTGGGGAATTAAAGATAAAAATATTGTAATATGCAATTTGATATACAAAAGTTACCAATTTGAAGAAACAAAATGTTACCGTGATTTGAACAGATAGTCACGTACTTAAGGTCGGAATTTAAAATTGTTGTTGTTTTGGTAGGAACTCAAAATGGTTTTTGCGAAGTTCCACAGCTTGGAATGTGTACTCTTGCTATGTAATATTCATCGTATACATTGTGCACATTAATCATAGAGACAAGTCTTAATTTTTCTCACAGGGGAAGGTATTTAAAAACAAGAGTTATATTTCAGATCACCGTTAGTTTCTTACTCCAAATAATGCGCTTAAACTTAAATAATTCATAGTTGATGTTCTTGATACAATTAGTTGGACAAAAGTAACATATAGCTGCTTGCTGTGACATGGAGAAACCCAGGAGTTTAGGACGAGGTGCTGGCAGATAGGTGATAAAAGCATTATGCCATTACCAAAGAAGGGAGTGAGAATTTGAATATCAGCAAAAAATTTGATGATTAGAAAAACAGCAGTGATATGATACTATGATTTGAACACTGATTTTCCTTCTATGCATTAATATTGTTGGGCAAGTAACGGGGCAAGGACTTATAGCTCCGGATGATACAAAATGGCAAAACCAGGAGTTTGACAATACACAGAAGGATAGGTGAGAAAGGGGGTATTTACCAAACAAGAGACTAACTATCAACTATCTCTAAAACACTATAAGGATTTTATAAGAAGTTAACGAATACAGTCAAATGATTCAAATTTTTTTGAACATTAATGCCTCTGATTAAAGTAAAAATACAGAATACACCCCCTGTCTTCATGGATATAACCTCCAAAAACTTGTTGGTTTTGTAGACGAACTGTAGGCTGAGCTTTAGCCTTTTCAATGTTTATTAACCACTCTTAAAGTGCTTTTTGAAGGTTAATATCAGAAAGAAAAAACCAGCCTAGTTCCACCTCTGATTGACTGTCTTATATAAATGTGGACCAACTTCAATGATTAAATCAATACTCTTTGCTGAAACTCATGAGAGAAGTGACAAGATGAGCTTTCACTTGTACTTTATATTCATCAAATTCATCAAAGGACAAGTAAGGTGGAAAATAAGAGTGAACAAGTGCAGTTATCACAGGCAAATATGTGCAGAGTATCAAAAAGTATAGTTTGAACATCGAACCACTTTTATTTTGTAAAGAAGGAAATACAATAAATCATGGAGTTTAGAGTAACACTTCAATTGCACCAGCACATAAGAAACGATATCAACTAAGTATACTAAAAAAGAAAATAACACGCATCATACAGAGTAAATGTTTTTTGACTTCAAAGTTCCATTCATACATGAAAGAAAGAACTAAAGCAACTTGTGGTTGAATTTTCGCTCTCTCATGTGTATTTTTACCATTAGCTTTCTCTTATGTTTCCTACTGAATAGAACAGAAACAATTATGTTATCTTCTCATTATTAGTTATGATTGTGTTTTTGCAAAGAGAAGCATTTGAACGAGTGTTCCTGACTTGTTCTAGTGATCATTTTAGTACCATGCTGATTAAATAAATCCATTTATAAGATCTGAAGCTTGTTCTGCAGATTCGTAGTAACATCCCACCTTGGTGATCTTGCATTTTTAATGTTTAGCAACTCCTATCAAGAGCTTAGTAGAGCATTTTACTACATATTTTAAAGAGGCAAAAAAAAGTAAGCTTGTGACTTAGGTTGCTCAGCTTGTTATAATACTCCATTTAAGTAACAGAACTGAAAAATAACAGTCAGGTACTGCACATTTTATAAGAAAAGAGAATAGAATTATTAATAAGCGACTAGCTGGACTAGACGATCAAATTTGGTCAACTTCATCCTCAAACATTCTAACATACTTGAACCATTATCTTTATCCACCCAATTTTTCTAATAAACAAATGGATGCATTACCAACCAGTAAATTGAATATACTACTTCAGATCTTCTTCCTTAGGCCTTAGGGGTGGAATTTAGAAGTTCTAACAACTCCAGTGTATAAATTGTAATAACTAAAATGTTAAGCATTAATTAGATGAAGAAACAACAAAAAGTTTCTATAGAGTTCGTGATGAGTTAGTTTGATCCATAACTGATCAGTTTATTCAGGAAAAAAAATCTACATTCAAAGATGTGGCCTGGATCCAGTCATATCACACAGATTTAAGCTCATCTATGCACCTATGATCCTACATGAAAGACCACAAATTGTAACTACCACCACCATTTTAGAAACAAAGAAAGACCATGCTACATGACAAAATAGGACTAACAAAATTCGCCAAACACGATAAGACAGTAAAAGCTGAGGAAGGGTGGAAAACTCAAAGCATAAATCATTATCCAATGCCCATCAAATGACATGATACCCAGCTGAAATCTAACCATAGTCTTTCACAATAAAATACATCATCAACTCCATACATACAACCCCCCCCAGGGGCTGTGACGATGCTGAAGAGTGACAAGTTGTTTCCTCACTCACTCCTCTATTACTAGCTATCTGGACATCATCCATTATTTCAAGTTCAAGCTTTTTTCTTAAGCATCTGCCCAAATAAATATTATCAAAAAGGCATACTGACAAAATAAAAAAAATAGATAAATAAATTACGATCGTAAAACAGTAAATTCCCTAAATTATCAAGGTCCATAGAAATTTAGTGCTACTACCGCAAATCTTGATGGGAGCTTCGAGCTCCAAGAGATTGGGCTGACCGATGAAAATCTCCTTGGAAGCGAGGCACAGCTGCCTGATCTCAGGCTCCGTCAGCTGAACTTGCCTCGTCGTCCTCCCGTTCTTCGCCGCGAGAAGTCGCCTGATGATGTCGTCGAGCAAACCCTCGTCCATCGGCATCCTCAACAAAACCCTAGAAAACCCAAATCCAAATCCAGTTCAAAGAGGGATTCAACTGATTCTTACTGCTATAAGTGATTCCCCATGGGGTCGATAGGGGAGGAGAAACTAGTGTTTGGATGCTTATCGCCTCCGACTGGTGGCGATCGAAACCCTAGAAATTGATGAGGCGAGGGCGAGAATGCCCGTGGCCTTTTTGCTTTGCGTTCTGTGGCGGTCGAGGCTGAACACGTGTGGGGGTTAAAAGGCTTGCCATTTGGCAGCCGCACGTGAGAAGGAGGGGCTGTCTTGGTTATTTGTCCTTTTCGTTTGTTTTGTTTAATCTTCGTCTTTAGCTAATAAGTAATCATATCATATCATATCATACTCCCTTTAAAAGTACGAGCAGTAAAAAATCTTTCTACGGTCAATATTACCCTTAATTTTTTTAAATATTATATTATTATCCTAATCTATTTTAATTTTCCTATCTTTTTTAAATTTATGATTAAATGATTTATTCTATCCATAATGAGACTTAACATGTTATTGGATAAAAGTGATATGTTTGGTATAATTTAAATCTCTTATTTATTTTAGTTTGCAGAGAAATCTAAAAAATATATGCTAGCAAGCACCTAAAAATTTTTGGACCTTGTAACTAATAATATTATGAGTTATTAGTTTGTGGATGATAAGATTTATTAATGATAAATGTACAACAAATCAAAGTAGTTTTAGATTTGAGACACACGTAAAGTATAGTAAGTGTGAGATATTGAGAGAAAACAGAGAAGAGGGTGTCGATGTTGATGTCTTTGGCTCGACCTTCTGTATTTATATCTCAATAAAAATTGCATAGATAACCCTATGTACATTGAGAGAAAACAGAGAAGAGGGTGTCGATGTTGATGTCTTTGGCTCGACCTTCTGTATTTATATCTCAATAAAAATTGCATAGATAACCCTATGTACA